GTCGCTTGGCCTGCTACAATAGAGTTAATTTTAAACGTAAGCGATTCGTAATCAACCTCCAAGGAATGTATAAATAGAGCACCGGTAACAGACACACCAAACCGGCGTAGCCTGCACTCCTATGCGAGTAGAGGCCATAAGCAGTTTGTCCCCTTTATGGGTGCAGTCCGTAGGATTAACATCTCAAGGGTGAGAATCCTACCTGTACAAATTAAGGAAAGCTCTGTTCAACTTAAGGTTATTTTGAGGCTCTCTGCGGTTACCAGATAACCTGAAGCCCCGACACGGACAGGGACATATATCCGGACTGTACTGTTTCCGTTCATGACCTACATATGCCTGTCACACCTGTGAATGTCTTCCTCAAGTGATACTCCAGCGGCCCTAAATGATACAGTAGCGTTGGTGACCCTAATGTCCAACTGTAACCCCTCCTCTTGTTGACAACCTGTTGGCGAAGGACCGGGGATCTTTAGACGAGCAGAAAGGTGGGGTCACGGAGGTGAGGTGGTATTTCCTGTCCATTGATTTGCTCCTTAGGTCGCAGGCAAGTTCCCACCTGTTGGGCAGAGAACGCTCCAAGTATCTGGTCACTCCTAGTACTTGGTTCGCTGGGAGGAACACTCTTAAGTATGTAGTCACTTCTACCACTTCTTCTTCTTCTTATATTACATGCCGAATGGCGTTGGTAATCATGTATGTCTCGTATGACTTGTGTACTTTCAATCAATTCTGACATTGATGATCTTCCATGCTATGATGTCAAACTGTCTAGATTCGTTTCTTTCAGTCTTCTTCTACATCCCTCCTTCGCCTCTTCGCCTCCCCCCACCCACTCCAACTTTCCGACCGTCACAATGTACACCTGTTTTCTCCTTTGCATCACATGACCAACAAATGTAGATCGTCTCTTTCTGATGTGGGCAATCAGTTCTCTTCACGAGCCTGCTTCTTTCACGACATCCTCACCACACTTTTTTAATTTGTCCCGGGTTTTGCTTCGAAATAAGTTTTCACTAATCTACCAACTGTCCATGGTTTACTTCCGTACATCAAGATAGGATTTATATAGCTCTTAAGAATTCTCTTTCTTGTTGAGTTGAGTTGACTTGAGTCAAGAATTGACATTACAGCACTCAGGGCATTCCCATGCATGCTCCGTCCTCATCTTCAGCAGCCAGCGCACAGTTCCAATACTGATGGTACCAGTCACAATCTGGTTATATGTCCGTCCTGCCTTTCCTCTGAGTGTAGCGAGCCGGCAAGACTCTCTGGTTACACCCAGGTGCCCCATTCTCTCTAGGCTATAATAATCTTCTTTCTCTACTGATTCCGTTGCTTGTCCATCGTTTTCATTAACAAATAAAAAATTGCATAAAATATTCATCGTTTTGTAAAATGCTGCCTTTGCTTGAGCTATTCGACGCTAAACTTCTTTAATACATCTTCTGTCTTAAGTTATCAGGGTACCCAAGTACTTGAATATATTAACTTGCTTGGGGTTTGTCCCATTTACTTTGATGTTGCATTTTGGAGGGTCAGTTTTCTTTGTAATTACCATTACTTGTTTTTCAGCTCTTCAAACTAAGACCCGTGTTCTCACTTTCTGTTACAATTCCCAACACAGTTCCATAAAAATAAGAAAGTCCTATAAAGGTCGCCCAAAAGTTTTTAAATAATTGTATAAAGGATTTATAATGTTTCATGTGCATTTTTTTTAACGTATCCAGAAGCCATGAGTTGTAAAACCTTTGGCTCGGTACTATGGATATCGCAACCCTTCGGCTTTGATTCCATTAAAGGTACCGTTAATCTGGGAGAAATCATGTGCAGATATGTGTTCCGAGACTAAGCAGTGGTGTGTGGAAGAACTCCAGGCAGTGCGACTTTTTGGACACCCTAATTGTTGCTTCAAAAGACGCCTACATGTTTATAGATATGTTGCGGTCCCAGCGCAGAGGTTCAGATACAGTTATGGCATAGGGTAACAGACGAACAGACAGTGAGACATAAAGAGACTCAGATACTGATAGATAAAATCGTGGTGTATGGTCAACAGTCCAACAGACTCACAGAGATACAGAACGCACAACTGATATATAAATATTATATATATATATATATATATATATATATATATATATATATATATATATGGTGTGTGTGTGTGTGTGTGTGTGTGTGTGTGTGTATGTGTGTGTGTCTGTCTGTAGTAAATCTGTTTGGACGTATCTACAGACATACAGGCATAGACAGGGAGACCACACACAAAGATGCAATGGAGACAGAGAGAGAGAGAGACAGAGAGACAGACAGACAGACAGAGAGACAGACAGACAGACAGATAGACAGAGGACTTCCATGAAGTGTGAGTCAGCGTGTATTTATACCTTTTAATTGTAGGTGGTTTTGTTAAGCTGATACAAACTTTCTATGTTTCTTACCATTTTCAATTTGTTTCTTTTCCACATCTTTTGCAGTCTTTTTAAAGGTTTGTTTTAGACTCTTCCCATTGCAAAGTTTAAATGAGACATCTCCTCAGTAAAAGTAAAAAACCCTCTTTATGCTTTCAGGAGTATTGGGCATATAGGGTTAAGCCTATATATTACAGACCAATTAGCACTTGGTGGGTGATGTGGTCAGCATCACGCCGGTCGCTTTTACTTTCCAGGACTGCACCTGGTACCCACTCAAGGCTGGGTCGACCTGGGAGTCAAGGAAATTATAAAATAGTCCGGCTCCGCCAGGACCCGAACCCACGACCTTCCGACCCGAAGGCGAGCGTCTAGTCGCTTCACCTCGGCGACTCCTATCTCCTTAGTAAATATGTTTAATCGCCGACATTTCAGGATCTTAGAATGCGGTCCAAAGTAGAACCATTAGTATTGTTATGTTATGACAATTGACGTCTTGGTACATTGAGCATCCCCACGCATGCTCAGTCCTCCCGTGCAGCAGCCACTCCAAGGTACCTCTACTGGACTGTTCCCATAAGAAGTTGGTTACAGTATCTCCTGTCTTTACAGTGAAGACGGCATAGACGTGCTACACCAAGCTCAACTCCTCGGTCACACGGTCGTTTTTTAGCGTCAGAGATCCGCCATTATTTTCCAGCCTAGCATTATGAGTCGCATCTCGCAGATGAAGGACAGAACTGGTTATGGTGTCAGTAGAATTAACGACAGGCGAAGAACATGAATCTAGGTCTCGGCTGCTAAGTGGCTAATCGCTTGCTTCGAGCCCCGGAGATACTGAATTTCATACCAAGCTCAGCCATTCAGTTCGCCAGTGCAGGCGCATTGGAGACCAGTGATGGTTCGTTGCAGGAGTCACGGAGTTAAGTACTTTGTGGAACGTTTTCGTCAGGCCACGCATCTCTCTGCTCTACCTACACATACACCCGCATAGAAAGAGAGGGAGAGAGAGAGAGAGAGAGAGAGAGAGAGAGAGAAGGGGGAGGGGATAACACTCGTCGAAGTTGACCCTATCATCCTAGAAGTAGGGCACATGAAGGGTATCATTTGATTTGATTCAAGAACATCACAGCACTCGGGGCATTCCCATAAGCGCTCCGTCCCCATCTTCAGCAGCCAACGGAAAGTTCCGATACTAATGGTGCCAGTAGCTTTCTGATTAAACGTCCGTCTTGCCTTTCCTCTGAGCCTCGAGCATCTGCCAGAACCTCTTGTCAATCCCTGCTGCATCAATCTCACCAGACTGTGGTGATCTATCTGCTCCTCCGAACTGTACACGCTCTCCCACAAGGCACTAACCACGTCTGCCCTATCATGTATCAGTATTCCACCAAGTTGTGCAGAGCCAGCCAGTCTGTCCGCCTGTTCATTTCCCAAAACACCGGTGTACCCCAGTGAAAACATGAAGGGTATAAGCACTTCATTCCATGGGGTGGTTTTTTTTTTTTTTTTTCTTCTTATGAGAAGGCCAGAGGCCTCTACGAAGCAAGTCCTTCGCCGACAATATCTCATGGTTTCCATCGGAGTGCCGACTTGCTTGACCTGTGATCTCTGTTGTGCTTGCTTGTAGAGATCTTTTCTCCCTCTCATGTTTTGTATTCTCGGGTGCCTGGTTTTGGCACAGTTCTTCTTCTTTCTTTTTCTTCTTGTTCACCGGCTGTGAATTCCGGCGGTAAGTCGAGGTTGTTCGTCCAAATGGACTTTTGGCTTTTACCTAGACCTGAGTTTTGCGTGTACATCCGTTTTACTGGCTTATTTGTTTGCAGTCCTCGTTCCCTGCCTCTCCGGCAGGGGCACAGTTCTGAGACGCCAATCTTGAGTGCTATGTAAATTTTATGAGAAATGTAAACGAACTGCGGGAATCGTGGTGGCAGAAGATAATATCGACAATATAATACAACAGATATTAGGTGTCGATAACGATCATAACAAACAGAAATCTGTAGCAATTAGCTGGTACACTCGTTGTACACAGGCTGAAAAAAAAAACTAGAATTAGATAGAATTCAAATAAAGTCAAGAGGTCGCACACAAACTCCATAGCACAAGCGACGATCTTCCGAGATTTCTGTACACACCGCAGTAGCTTGTAGCTTGGGGAGGAAAAGTTTCGGGGGCCTAAGTATCTGAAGGTTTGCCTTGAGTGCCTAGGATATCAAAGTTTACTAAATAATAACCAGTTATATTAGCAGTTTCGCACTGTGGTTGTGCTATATTACGAATAATAGTTACTAATAATAATAAACTTAGAAGAAGAAGAAGAAGAAGAAGAAGAAGAAGAAGAAGAAGAAGAAGAAGAAGAAGAAGAAGAAGAAGAAGAAGAAGAAGAAGAAGAAGAAGAAGAAGAAGAAGAAGAAGAAGAAGAAGAAGAAGAAAAATAAATTCGTTATACTGTAATTTTGCTATCAACCACTGAGTAATATTAAAAATAACAACAACAATAAAACAGCAGTATCGTTATTAATAACAAATAACCAATTCACCCACAATGTAAACACTACACAAAACACAACACAGTTATCTTACCTTCAACTACTGGCAAAAATCGCAAACAAAGCGATAATCCCAGAAAAACAACACAAACGTTGTGAGACAGCATTGCTCACAGCTCCAGTAAGCTCCCAACGAAATAGCATATATGTAACTATCCAAGAAGGAACACAAACATCTAACTACACAACACGATCCATATCTAACGTCGTCTTCTCCCAACTCAAACTAGAAGTAACTTACAAGCTTCTCTGTTATTGCCTGCTTGAGTTCCCCAGTCTTGTTTTCATTAGAAAATTCATACGCCGCGCGGCGTGCCTGTGTTGGTTATTAAATAGTTCTTTATGTTAAATTATATTTTAAATGATCAACTACCTCTTATAACATGTATCAGCTTGAAAATGCCTTTTTGAAATATTTTAATAATAAAAAATATGTGTTAAAGTATTTCAAAAATAGTGCAAAGCGTAAGGTTCTTTAGTTATGCGGCCCCCTTTTCTTTCCTTAATGGACACAGCACATGCGTGCGCTTCATTGGCTAAAAGTTACAGGGGGGATGCGGGCAAACAGAACTCCCCAAGAACTTCCTTGGACGACATTTTCCCAGGATCTTTGGACACATAAGTAATTTTTCTCACTTCGGCGCAGCCACGTGTGCCTAGAACCACAGACAGCCCCCGACAGGATTTAAAGAGAAAAGGGGGGGGGGGGGTAGGGGGGGGGCACATTAGGGCTTTTTTCTTCTTCTCTTGTTCAGTCCTTTTTTTTTTAATCTGCTTTTCATGTTGCCTGTTTTGTGTTGTGTTTAATGGGAATTTGGTTGTCTGGTGTATGTGTCAGTTATCTATCAGACTGTTTAAGTGTTTGTCTATTTCAAATGTTTTCGTTTGGCTTGATATCTGTTCGTGAAATTATTTATGTCTATTTATTTGTCTATCCGCTATCTGTCCATCAATTTGCTCTCTATCCCTTACATGTCCGTCAACTTGCTGACTATCCGTTACATGTCCGTCAATTTGCTGTCTATCCAATTTTTGTTCTATCAGTTTATATCTGTCCCTTACATGTCCGTCAACTTGCTGTCTATCCGTTATTTGTTTTATCTGTTTACTACTCTCCCTTACATGACCGTCAACTTGCTGTCTATCCGTTATCTGTTCCCAAATTTACTGTCTATCCGTTATTTGTCCCCTAATATACTGTCTATCCGTTATCTGTCCCCTAATTTACTGTCCATCCGTTACCTGTTCCCTAATTTACTGTCTATATGTTACCTGTCCCCTTATATACTGTCTATCCGTTACCTGTCCCCTAATTTAAAGTCCATCCGTTATCTGTTCCCTAATTTACTGTCTATCCATTATCTATCCCCTAATTTACTGTCTATTCGTTACCTGTTCCCTAATTTACTGTCTACGGATAGTAACGGATAGACAGTAAATCAGGGGACAGGTAACGTATAGACAGAACATTCACTGGATGTTTTCTAGTTTCCTGGATATAGAGTTTTTCAAAGACTTAAGAAGATTCGAGGCAAGAGGGATGTTCACATCATTAGATTACAGGACCTTGCTGGTTTTTCATTCATTTTTTTTTTCTAGCTTGACATTCGAAAAACTTGTGAGAAAAATTTATTTTTCCAACACCTCCCCCCCCCCCCCCCCCCCCCCCCCCCCCCACCCCCCACCACCCGATTTCCTTGTTATTTTTTGCTTATTCCTTTTTCCTCTCTCCTAGTATTCACTAGGTGTTCATTGTCAGCGGCTAGTGGGTGTTTTATTTTCTCGAAATCCCAGGAGCATATAGATTGAGGGATGCACCCATCTATTCGTCTGTCAGTGTCAGCATGCTGACTGCATTTCTGCCTAATCATATTTACATGTGTGTGTGTGTGTGTTTGTGTTACCATATTGGTAACATCCGGCACATCAGAATGACGAAGCGTGTTCATAACCCCGAAGCCTCAGAAGCCGACTAGAGCACTCAGTTTATTCCTTCCTCCCGTTCTGTCCGGGGTTATTTTCTGTTGTTTCAATATCATGGATGGGATCCAGGCCAGCATCTTTGGCTTCCCACATCACCACTCCTCTTATGTTTCTTCCTCAGCATCTGTGGCTTGGGCGTTGCGAACGCGCTTAGTAATGCCGAGGTGCCAGGTTCGATCCCAGCTGCGGACGGTTTGTCTTGCGTTGGTTTCGACAGTGGTACCGAGTGCTGACCGTTCAGGAGCAATGGCAAACTACTGAACGTAAAATTTACATAGAAAATACACAGCAGCTAAAAATGCTAGGGCTGGTTCTGTAACATCCTGTAACTGACTCACAGAGTATGTTGAGAAAGGTGGAGACAGGCACACTCCGTGCAGAGTGGCAAGCATCACTTCAAGCATTAAAGGTCCCAGGTAGCTAGCATTCTTTGGATATTTTATCCAGGTCATGTCGATGTGTCTCCCAGGTCGACCCAGCCTTAAGTGGGTACCGGGAAGTAAAGGCGGCCGGTGTGATGCTGACCACATCACCCATCTTGTGCCGATTGGTCTGTAAAAATATAGGTCTAGCCCTATATGCCCTATACGCCTTAAGGCGTGGAAAGGGGTACTTTAGTGTTTTTACTTTATATCGATGTGTTTGGGGTGGGAAATGAGCAGGCAGATGGATTGGCCGGTTGTGCACCACTTGGTGGTGAACTGATGTATAACAAGCTGGATGTTGTGAGGGCCCTTTGAGAAAGTGTTAACAGTGCCGACTCACAGATAGATCATTACGGTCTGAGGAGAATGGCACTGCGAGGTGTTTATTTGGCCGACGCTCGACACTCAGGGGAAAGGAGAGACGGATATACAATCAGACAGTTACTGGTACTATGAGAATTTTTAACTCTTCGCTTGCTGCTGAAGATGGGGACGGAGCACGTATGGGGGTGTCTCGAGTGTTGCGATATCGATTCTTAATTCAACATTCAACACTCAACTGTAAAGAATACGCAAATAACTTAATTTAGTTTCCTTGACTTATTTGTTTCCCATAACAGTACCTATTTAGTGATTCGCCATTGGCTTCTTCTCAAGATGCGACCAAAATATTATCAGATTTTTGTAGTTTGCTTTGCAATGATAAATCTATCCATCTATAAGTTAGTAAAAGCAAAGATTTCTTTTCACGCCTGTACTCGCATCGGGCATTTGGGAAGAGCATATTTGTGCTGACAAATCTTAGATGGGTAATGTGGTCAGCATTACACCGGTTGTCTTTACTTTCTCATGACATACATCCTGGTACCCATTTTAGGCTGGGTCGACCTCCGACGCCCTATATCATGGTGAAAATCCACGCAGCCAGCAGTAGGTTTCGATCGAGGTACTTTGGAATTACGAGTCGCACTTGCAACGCCTAAGCCACGGACGTCGCTATCCCAGAAGTTACCAGATGAATACTCCAGTGCCTTACCTCTAGATCGCGTAGTTAAATTGTTAATTATAGCACCAACCAAAACGTCCATTACATTTCACCTCCAATCCTTCCGCACCAGTACACACAGAAAATTTTTGCCTGGATCTAAGATGGAGCCACCTACGCTCCTGTACCCTGGGATCCCACAAACCGGTGACGTCAGCTTGTGTTCTGTGAGAAAATACTTGAAGCAATTGGCGTGCATGTTTCGGGTGAATGAGCTACACGCTTCTGTCAAACAGAGAATTTTGATCAACGCTCGCGCGTGTGTGTATGTGTCTGTGTGTGCGCGCGCGCGCACGGCCCGAGGAAGTATACTAGAAAAAGTAGTACGGGCGTCTAAAATTGTTCAGGAGGCTATGTCATGTGTGTGTTTTTTTTTTTTACCTCTTGACAAGAACTGATTTATGTCATTTTTCTACCAGGTGCTTCGGATCCTAAGGACGTATGCCTTGTACATTCCCAACACCCTACTCTTTTTTCCCACACACACTCAAGCGCGCGCGTGCACACACCAGGTAAATTAGTATGGGAGTTGAGCAGACTATTAATCATGTAAATATGTTCTCTTTTTAAATATTTTTTCAAACATTTCATTTTTATATTATGTATTCGTTTTTATCACATAATTTTAAAATATTTATTACTAGTCAGCCATTATTATTATTTTACACACTTAAACAAGGACCGACGTGATGTTCCCCACATCACAGTCCGAGTGTCGATTGGTCTTTGACATATAGGTCTATCAATATGTGCCCTATACAACTAAAGGGGTAGTAAAAGGGTACCTGAGTTCCCAAGTCCAGGCACCTATATGAACAACGCACATTTTCCGCCATCACTTCAGACAGTTTTTCGACCCTAAACCGGCTTTGTTATTTCTAGCCAGGAAACTCCTTGATAACACATACGCTCTAACACGAAGCGATGCCTTGCAAACACATTCTCAGACAGTTCTATTGAGACAGTCATTTTTTCCTAAATATTTTATTTGAAGTCATATAAAATCGCTGCATTTATGTTCAATATAAACCTCCTTCAACAAAGCGGTAATTATTAGGGAAGGGAGGGCAAGCAGGTGATCTCACACAATACATTGTTTAATAATCATGGACAGTAGGTGATCCCACAAAATGTGTTGTTCAATCCACAAGGATAACAGGTGATCCAACAAACTAACTTGTTCTAATACACACGGACACTAACTGATCCAACACAATGGGTTGTTTGATACACGTAGACAGCAGGTAATACCACACAATGTGTTGTTTGATATACGTAGACAGCAGGTAAAACCACGCAATGTGTTGTTTAATACACGTAGACAGCAGGTAACACCACACAATGCGTTGTTTGATACACGTAGACAGCAGGTAATACCACACAATGTGTTTGATACACTTAGGCAGCAGGTAATACCAAACAATGTGTTTGATACACGTAGGCAGCAGGTAATACCACACAATGTGTTTGATACACGTATGCAGCAGGTAATACCACACAATGTGTTTGATACACGTAGGCAGCAGGTAATACCACACATTGTGTTGTTTGATACACGTAGATAGTAGGTGATACCATTCAATGTGCTGTTTGATACACGTAGATAGTAGGTGATACCATACAATGTGTTGTTTGATACATGAATATAGTAGGT